ATAAAATGTTTTTGTTTTGCCCCTACAAGACCCTGGCACCGGGAAGGGAAGTCCTCTCCCAGGACCTCCTTGACCTTGGGGCCCCTTTATGAGGCCCTTTACCATTCTTCATCTCCCCATGGCTTCCAGGGCCTGCTCTCCCATGAAAATTATGTCATGTATGGAAATTTCCTTCCATTCTTCTAAGAAGCTTCCGCATGAATCTTAATATAGAAGATCAGGTCTCAGCTATCACGGGGGGCCTGCAGAGCCCAAAGATCTGCTGGCTCCTGTAGACGGCAGGCAGCACCTTCTCCCTGGTGTCTCAGTCTGTCCGGGCCACTACAACAAAGTGCCACCACCTGGGGGTTTATAAATGACCACAGTTCATTTCTCTCAGTTCTGGAGGCTAGAAGGCAGAAATCAGGGTGCCAGCACGGCTGGGTGAGGGCCCTGTGCCAGGATGTGGACTTCTCCCTGCATCTGCAAGTGGTGGATGTGGGCAGAGAGCTCTCTGGGGTTCCTTTCATAAGGGCACTAATCCCATCCATGGGGGCCCCACCCACACAACCTCAGTACCTCCCCATTCGATCATGGGCATTAGGGCTTAAGCAGATGACTTTGGGGGACATGTTGAGACCACAGCGCTGGGGTTCTTGCGACAGCCCATTAACTAAGAGTCACTGTCATTCTCTAGTTAGGGACATTAGTGGGCTGGTTAATTTATGACCTTAACAAGCTAGTAAACGTTTTCTGCATAGTGCTGTGTGCCAGCCTAGTTCTAGGAGGGGGTGTAAAGCACATGTAGACTGTCTTTGACTTGGACTATGGAAAGGAGATGACAAGTTTGCTGAGCTTCTCTGAGGGACTGTGTGTGTGTGTGTGTGTTAGGGGAGCGTGTGACCTAGTGGAGTAGGGAGAGGACTGGGGTCTCTGAGCAGCTGGACCCCCTGCCCACCCACTCAGGCTCCTCTTTCCTCCCTCCCCAGGTGTGGTCTTTCCCTACCAGCACCCCCAGGGCCGCTACCAGCTCAACTTCCACCAGGCCCAGCGTGCCTGCGAAGAGCAGGATGCAGTGGTGGCCTCCTTTGAGCAGCTGTTCCGGGCCTGGGAGGAGGGCCTGGACTGGTGCAATGCAGGCTGGCTGCAGGATGCTTCGGTGCAGTACCCCATCATGCTGGCCCGGCAGCCCTGTGGTGGCCTGGGCCTGGCACCCGGTGTGCGCAGCTATGGCCCACGAGACCGTCATCAACACCGCTACGATGTGTTCTGCTTTGCTGCTGCTCTCAGGGGTGAGTGGACCAGCGAGCTCAGGTCCGCGGTGGCAGGCAGCATCGGGGGCGCTTAGGGCCTCTCCTGCGGCACCTCCACCTGCCACTCATGAGGCCACATCTGGGGGCCTGCTTCTGGTTCACACTGACAATTGTTCATTCATTCATCAAACATCTCCTGAGTGCCTACTATGTGCTGGGGCCAACAGCGGGCTCTTGGCATCATAGACAAACAAAACTGTTTTCACAGGAAGATAAACAGAACCAGAAACTGGTTCAGTTCCATATGCCAAGCACTTGGAACAGTGTCTGGCACATAGTTGGTGCTCAGTAAATGCTGGGTGGGTGAAAGGCTCTGATTGGTCCAGCCTAGGTGGGGTGATCACCAAGGGTGCAATTAAAGGACAGGGTAGAGGACAGACATGACAGGGGTATCTGCAGCCCCATGGCAGGTGGGGTGGAATGCTCAGACGGGGTGAGGCCTGGGAAGGTGCCTCCCCAAGGTGTGCACTGTGGATGCCCACAGCGTGGTGGCTCCTGGGCTTGGACAGTTGTCAGGTCTTTGGGGGCTGGGTGGTGCGGTCAGGATGGGCTGGCATTCTGCAGCCCTGCTGTGCTCTCTGGATGCCCCTCTGCCCAACCCTCACCCCTGCTTTCACACAGGGCGGGTATACTACCTGGAGCACTCTGAGAAGCTGACGCTGGCGGAGGCAAAGGAGGCCTGCTGGGAAGACGGTGCTCAGATTGCCAAGGTGGGCCAGCTCTTTGCCGCCTGGAAGTTCCAAGGCCTGGACCGCTGTGACGCTGGCTGGCTGGCAGATGGCAGTGCCCGCTACCCTGTGGCTCACCCACGTCCCAGCTGTGGGCCACTGGAGCCTGGTGTCCGCAGCTTCGGCTTCCCAGACCCGCAGAGCCGCAAGTATGGCGTGTACTGCTACCAGCCATGCTAGCACCCCGCGCCAGCTCTGACCCGCCTGGGCCCCTCCCCTCACGGGCTGTATTTATTGAGTGGTTCGTTTTCCCTTGTCAGTTGGGGCAATTTTCATATTGTTTTTATACTTCTCAACTTAAAATTCAAAAAAAAACTTACTGTGTTTCATAAATCCACCAGATCCCAAATCCTCCCTTTGCTCAGGTGGGTACCCCAAGGCTGTCCGGCTCCCGGAATCCTCCTGCCCCTCTCCTCTGGCACATGGGAGGCTCGTGGGCTCACGAGGGCTCCCTGTGGTCCCTGGGTGCAGCCCCTTTCCCTGCCCCAGAGGCTATTGCTCAGAGCGGGGCTCGGAGGCTGCAGTGCCCACCCCGTCTCAGCCTAGGGAGGGAGGGGGCGCGGGGCACCGGGGGCGGGGGAGCTGGGCTCTGGGCCTGGCAGCCTCCTGCCCCTCTTCCTTCTCTGGGAAGCTGCTGGCTGGAGTCAGGGCTGGAAGCGGGTCCCTAGGCTCCTGTGTGAAATCCCAGGGAAGAGATCTCACATTTCCTCCTCATTTTTTTCTCTCCCTTGGTGCCAAAGACTCTGTGTTTTGTTCTCATTCTCCCTCTTTGGGGAACGGCCTCAGGTGTGTGTACTTTCCTGGGACAGTGAATGGTGCAGGGAGCCCTTCCTCCACCCCCAGACCTCCCCTTTGTTCTGCTGGCCAGCTCAGCCCGTCTTGGGGTTCAGCCCCCTGCCCAGCGGGTGTGGAGGGCAGTTCGGTCCCGGGCTCACAGGATCTGTGCCCTGGCGTGGGCGGCAGACTCCAGGGCTGCCCCTTCAGGCTGACAGGGTTCTCCCTTGCCGGTCCTGGGGCAGCCCCGCCCTGGTGCTGGCCTTGAAGCTGGAGGCCCTGGCCAGCTCTCCCACCTCCCCACTCCCTGGCTGGGTGACTGCAGGCGTAGCAGAAGGGCAGGGGGCGCCTCAGGAAATGGAGGAGACCGTGTGCCCACAGAGGATCTCAGGCCCCAGCCATCTCTGGGCCTCACCCTCTGCCCCCTGCCCCAACCGCCCAGCCTCAGAAAACCCAGCCTGTTGCCTCCGCAGAGGCTCACCTCTACCGCTCCCCCTCAGTCGTGCAGCCAGTTCTTCGTGTAGCCCCCGTGCTCCTCAGAGGGCGGCCAGGAGCAGCTGGGTCCCTGGGAAACTGTTCGAGTGCACATTCCTGGGCCCCACCCCAGACCCACTGGGTCGGCCACGCTGGAGTGGGGCCCGGGATTCTGTGTCATCACAAGCCCTCTCGATTCTGACGCAGGCTCAAGTTTGAGACCCACTGACATAGTTGTACTCCCAACGAATCAGTTGATTATCAATTCCTCATGTAATTATTGAGCCCTTAATATGTGATCATCCCTGTACCCTCTACTTTTTGTCCACTCATTCATTCCAGAGTTGAAGGTAACCTGGGCATACGGATATAATCACCAACAAATACTCAACCACACGCATGCACACCTGAAGAGATACCAGCAAAGCCACCCGGGCCCTCGCTAACCAGCTCTCAAAACTCACAGACTCAGCTGCCTGTTGGCAGATGTGATGAGCGGGTGGTGCCCACTCCTGAGGAGGAGGCTGATGGGGGCACACTGCCTGGCACGCACACTCTGCTTGGCTCAGGGTCTGCTGGGGATCCACAAGCAATCAGAATCATTCTTGTCCATGTCCAACAGCCTCCTGAAGGGCACGATGCCCAGATCTTTTTGTTAGTGGTCAGCTGGCCAGTTTACCCCCAAAATGGGTAAGCAAGTTTCACTGTTCCCAGGCATCTGCAATGTTTTTGTTCCCTCGTTTAAGTCCTGATTTTGCCTATTCTTGGACTTATTCCACCAACCAGGTCCTCCTATGCGAGCACTATGGTATCAAAGCACCAGACTATGTAAAGTAGCCAGATGTCACACTTGAGTTGCTCTGTCAGTGTGCCAATTTGCAAATCGCCACACAGCGCCCACTGACTCATGCACACACACCACACACTCTTCACATCTCATGTGTACAGATATACACACATACGCAGGGAGGCCATCAAACACAGGCACTCCTTGTAAAAAAGCACACAAAGGCGTGACTGTCTCAGGCTTACCGGACAGAATTCACACCAGCTTGGATTCATTTGATCAGACCTTATCCTCACTGCCCCCATTCCTGATAGCCCCTTCAGTAGACCTCAACCATGGTGGCTTTCTCTTCAAATTAAAAAAAGGAGGGAAAAGCAAAGAAATAGATCTCTTCCAATATCTTTATTATTATTATAATTATCATAATCTTCAGTTTTTTCAAAAATATAAATAGGTGCACGGAACCCTGGTGCCTGCACGGTCCCGGGAGTGGAGGAGGTGGGGGGCAGGGGAGGTGGCATTCCCACGGGGATGCAAATGCCCCCGACCCAGCCCTGCCTGGATGGACACCTGCTAGGGGGGCAGCGCTGGGTGAGAGGCTGGAAGTGGGTCCCCTGGAGGGCCCCCGACCCCCATGCAGGGGAAGCTCCCTCCACGGCTTCCTCCTGTCTGCACCACCTTGGTGGGAACCAGCCCCCGCCCCCAGCTTCTCCCCACTCGGATGGCGCAGCGTCTTGGCTCCTCATCCAGTACATTCAGCTGCGGTTCCGTCTGAGGTCGTGCCCTCCATCCTCTGCCCCTTCCGCCCGCCACCCTAGCTCTCCCTGGAAGGCAAAGAACCAAGGATTGCACTGCTCTTGGATAAAGTCAGGAAACAAAAAATAATCTTATCTATTTAACTTAACCCCTCCCCTTCTCCCCCTGTCCCTGCTCTGGTCCCTGAAAGGCACATCAGGAGACTGAAGAAGCGTCTCTAAACGCAGTCCGTGGGTTACAACACGTTTGCTTTGCTTTGGCATTTGGGGGTGGCGATCGGATGCAGTTCTGGCGGTTCGGGGGTGGGTGGGTGCATACACAATGTGGGGCTTTTTTTTTTTCCTTCTTTAATGGAATTCCTTATATGACAGAAAGCGGCAAGAAGAGGGCACCATCTGTGTGGGCTGTCAGCCTGGCAAGCCTCCGGGGCTCCGCATCCCGGCCGCGTCTGGGGCTTCCTCTCAGTGGGCCGTGCCGGGCCGGCTCCGCCGCCGAGGCCGCCCGCTCCGCTTCTGTAGTCTGCGCTTGTAGGCAGAGGCTGGCATGCGGGGGAGATGCAGAGATGGTTATGAGCCCGGGAAGAAAGCAGCCAGCCTGGCTTCTCCCCAGCGTGCGCCCTCTCCACGGGCTCCCCTCCCACCGAACCCAAGGGCTCAGGAGGGCAGGCAGCCTGTGCCTTTATGTGCCTCCTGCTTTTGATTTTTCTTGGAACCAACTGGGGCTACCGGGCTTCTGGCTGGTGTTGAAGAGCAAAGCGGGCCCCCATCGGCTTGCTCTTTCATCCTCAGGGAAAGGCCCTCCCTAGCGGCAGGGGCAGTGGTCTGTGGTGGCCCCCACGGATGGCACGGGCAGCTGGTGCTCAGGGTCCCCGGAGAGGGCTGCTGGCCGCTGCTGTGCCCCAGGTGGGGAGGAGGACAGGAGGGCAAGACCCAATGCTGGGCCCCGTGAGGGTCGGGAGGGGCTGTGCTCACGGTCTGTGCAGGTGATCCGAGGCTCCTCCCAGTGCCCGCTGGGCAGGCACCGGATGGTGGGCACGTGGCGCTGGACAAAGCCCTCATTGCACTGGTACCGCACCAGGGAACTGATCTCGTACCGGTCCTTTTTCTGCCCAAAGGGCCTGGCGTGCTCCACCGCGGGGGGGTCTCCGCAGGCCACTGGGGGGCAAACACCCTTCAGAATGGGCCCTCAGAGGGTCTCCCGTGATGACGCATGCCAGTGATGAGCCGCTGTGGCCCCCTCTGGCTGCGATGGGACAGCCCAGAGTCTAGGGATGGGGCATTGAACCCGGACACCCAGCCGTGAGCCCTGACTGCTGCTGGCAAAGGGGAGTTTTCATGCCCTGCTAAGAATCTGGAAACCGCTGGTTCTAACTTCTGGTGCCTTGATGACCAGGAGCAGCAGGAAGGGATTGAAGGAGGGTCTGCTGGGGATGAGCAGAAGACAGAGAGGGCGAAGGTGGGGAACAAGGGAGAGGGCCAGGCAGGCTGTCTGTGACATCAGGAAACATCCGGTGCAGGAAACATACTGGCACCCTGATGTCACAGACTTAACTGAGGATAAAGGCCTGACAACTCTGACTCTGACTGAGGGACTTGGGGGCCCCAAAGAGGGGGAGGTTCCCAGCCCATGTACCATCGGGCATGACTTTCTATGCTGATATCCACGGGATGTGTATGTGTGGAGTCGGGGGGAGGGAGGGTCCTCTAGCCTGTGACCTTCACCCTCTCCCTGCCCCTGTATGTGGTCCCCAGGAGTGGGCTTGCCCTTGTCACTGGCCCTGGGATACCGGTGCTAGGACAGCCCTTCCACCCCTAGGTCAGCTCCGATTTGCTATTAGGCAGATGAGGTGACATCAGCAGCCAGACAACAAGGTGACAGCCGCGGGTCACAGAGCAGGAGCTTCAAGTCTTGATTCTATCCACGCAGGACCCTCCCAGGCTGCCACTTACCTGTGCCCTTTTTACACGTGAAGGGCAGGAGGTAATTGCAGGGGACGTCATTCCACTCTCCCTTTTCATGCCAGATCATCACCACGCAGTCCTCTCCAGCAGTGAAGAAGTTGTCAGGCTGCCTGGGGCGCCATTTCTCAAATTGCTGTGGGCGGGAGTGGGGCAGGGGAAGGGGAGGACAGGGCAGGCGATATTCACTGAACTTGTCCAGCCCTGGGTGGTCTCTAAAGGCAGAGGTGAAGCAGCTACGATCCCTGCCCAGGATTCCCTCAGTGCTCCTGGAGCAGTGGATGCTCAGGGGGTGTGTTCTCAGTGGATGTCTCTGGGGGGTTTTATTCCCCTCCTCTGGGCCACCCACTCTCCCTGGTGCCCCTAGCAGAACTCACCAAGGTGTGTCCATCTGACCAGCGGAAGTCCCCTTCAATGGTCCTGTCATTCAGGCCAATCCACTGGTAGTCTTGAGCATTACCTGGAGAGAGGATGTGGGTACTGAGCATGGCCCTGGTCCCCTGAGGGTGTCTGAGAAACTCGGACTCATAGAGGCAGAGGGGATGGGGGTGCAGGAGGTGGGTGGGCCCCTAAGAGCATGCCCTCTGCTTCTAAGGTCCTGACAAGGGCCTCAGCATATGCATGTCTGCGGTGCACTTTGGACCACCTCCCCCAGCCGGTCGGACCGGCGACAGCCACAGCGTTTGTCTGGGGCTGACTCAGAGTTGCCGGCTTGTCCCTGGGGTGGCCAGAGCATTGGTCCCAAAGACCCCATCTTCCCTCTGGGAACTCAGGCTGAGGAGATGCCCTTCCTCCCCTCCATGTCCCCGATCCCC